AACCTTAATATTTTAACTAGTTGACATTCAAACACCAAACAAGTTAACCCACAGAATGCCAAATGTCAACACTGTTCAAAGGGCCAAAGCAAGAGTCAGCTATGCACACTTTTCCAATCCCGCTGAGTGGGCTCATATGCAAGACCGTCCCAAACAAGGACAATCAGTTTATGTTATCAGAAGTAGGAAATTAATTCAGTAAGAAGATGAAATGAGGGTGCTGTTAAGCCACAGGGCTCAATAAAACATCCTCCTCAGCAGCGACTGTCTAGGTAAAGAAAGGCCTAAGAAATAAAGCTCCATCCTTTCAAACGAGCTTCTCAGTAAACACTCCAGAGGGAAGTATGGAGGCTAGTAGGATCTCATGGGAAGACTGCCCACCTAACCACACGCTACTCAATCAACTTCAGTGTCTTCCAGGTTCCTCCAACACCCTCTGCCACACAGAGTAGATGACGCACCCTCCAAGAGTGGCCCCCTCATACCTTGTTCATTGTCATTGGGTTTGACAGAATTTTCCAACCAACTGTCATTGCATCTGGCCTCTGCCCTCTTTCCGCTGGGTTTCTCCTCAGATATTTTACTACCCTGGGCCATGACTTGAGGCTTAACCACCTGGGTTACTTTCTTGCTGCGTTGCTGGCCACATTTGCTCTCTGCTGCCAACATCTGCTGCTCTCCAAGGTGGTGTTGCTTTGGGTGATAGGGCCCTATTAATTCAATGCACAGCTTCAGGTTAGTCAGCTCACTGTACTGTGGGTCTTCTAACTGGTTAGAGGAACCGCTTGTCGTTTCCCTCTAAGGTCAGTCATCCATTGGAGAAATAACTACAAAGTAATCAAAAAGTACCCTAGGAGTAAGTCAGACTGTCATACAACTGTACAGGAGCCCCTGGTAGCTTAGATAGTAAAGAATCTGCCTGCAGTGCGGGAAACTTCCTGGGTCAGGAAGAGCCCCTCGAGATGGAAATGACAACCCACTCCAGTATTCTTGCCTGGAGAATCTTATTAATGAAGGAGCCTGGCAGGCTACAGTCCAAGGTGTCACAAGGAATCAGACACAACTGAGTGACTTTACTTTCACTTTCATCATATATCTGTATTGGGAGTACATTAAAGGAGGGAGGTCTGGTCACTATCTCTGCTACAGGTTACAAAGTCTTGGGACATTTTGAATATTCTCTTTGGCTATCTTTCAGCCTAAGCATCTGATGAGGTGTAAAAGGAGGTATGAGCAGGATACCTGGAGCCTGTGGTTTGTGTACAATCACATACCATATTGCCCTGGAGTTGATATGAGAACAGAGACCTTCACTTCTCTGCCCCAAGACTTCACCTGGACATTGAGAAGCTAGGGTGAGCACCATGCCTTCTTTCAGTTCAGTTTTGGACTCCTGTAACTAACCTTTTGAGACTCATTTTCACTTGGCTTTCAGCAAACGGTCTTCTGGCAGCTCTTCCACAGTGTCACCTGAGATACTGTGCTTTCTGTCCAGCAAGAGAGTAAGGTTATGACACATCTCCAAGTCCACCTGGTTGTGTGGTGTCCCACTTTCAGGCTGCCTGTTCATCAGGTCCTTCTCCACAGGAAGATCTCTGTTCTCTGGGACCTTGAAGGGGTCCTGTTTTTGTTTTTTTTTTTTTTTTTTCTAGTGCTACACTCACTAGACAATAATACAGAAGGGAGACAATAATACAAAAGTGAAGGCCCAAAGGTCACTATGAGAATGGAGGATCTGGGGAGCAGGTAAAAGATCCCATACTCAATGATAATGCCTTATCTCCTATACTGACAAAATCTGTAACTATCATTTTATAGCTGGCGGCATGAAAACAAGAAAGAACGTTAAGTGTTAATTATACTTGGCCCTTTTCTTTCACAGCAGAATCCAACAAAGTCCGGATTTTTACTGATCTAAAAATTTCTATGAAAACGTAAGCTAAACTTCACATTTTGTAGTGAGTGAAGGCTGATGTAATACAGAGGCCAAATATTTACCAAATATGAGCTATAGAAATTAAACAAGCAATGTACTTGGTTCAACAGGGCAAATTATTAAGAAAAAATTATGAATGGAACTCTTTAGCAAAGTTTCTAATTGTATCTAGGAAGTTCACAGGCACCTTCACAGAAGTCAAACTGCTTACTGTAAAATTCTGTGTTCACTTTTCTCTCACACTTGGAAGGAAAATTTTTATTACTAAAACCATGTTACCCCTCCCATTTCCTGTCCAAGAGGAATTTTCTTAATACCTATGCATGTAACACTATGACTGACATTCTTTCCATATTCCTTCACATGCAACTACTTAAACGTATCCCAAAGACAAATTTCCATCCTTTCATTGTCACATATGTCCTCTGATTCAATGCAGTTTCAGATTCCAAGTCCACATTTTACATTTCAACTTCAAGTATCATGTATTTACCTATCATGCAGTTACTGCTACCTCTGTTAGCACTTTCAACCATGTCTAAATATCCATTATTCTCAACGAGAAGGTTTTCTTCTTAAGGTTCCACTTCCATTCAAACTTAGTAAAACTGAAGTTTGTTTATATTTCACCTGCCTGACTTTTTCAGTAGTGTCTTCTACCCACAGAAAATATCCAGGGGCTTTGTGATGACTTATTTCATACAGGTTGGCAAACAGAGATTCAGTGGGGGGACCCTCACCTTCCTGTTCCTCACTAAACAATAGCACTTCTAAAAAGTGAGCCCTCTCCCTGTCTTTTTCAGGCTTCCCATCTGGTAAAACCTGCAGAAATGTAAAAGGGCACTTTATTACGCTCTAAGTCTAAGATCATGCAGCACATATGTCACCATTCCCACTCAGCCAGACAAGGAACTTATGTGCCTGCACTTAGTCACCTCCTGCCTTGTTCTCAAGGACCCAAAAGTACGAAATCTGTGCTTCCTCATTCTGAACTATGACCAGAAAACCTGTACTGCTAAAGTCATAGTCCACTAAAATAACAAATCCATACCCATAATTTGTGCTTAGTTGCTTAGTTGTGTTCAGCTCTACTACACCCATGAACTATAGCCAGCCAGGAACCTCTGTCCATGGAGATTCTCCAAGCAAGAATGCTGGAGTGGGTTGCCTTGCCTTCCTCCAGGGAATCGTCCCAAGCCAGAGATCAAACCCAGGTCTCCCTCACTGCAGGCAGATTCTTTACTGTCTTAGCCACTTGGGAAGCCCACTCATAGTTGTTTTCTTAGTTTCACAAGAGAATCTTTTCCCAAACTAGATCCATCCACCCTTTCACCCAATGCAATGCTTTATGAGAAACAAATATAAAATAACTGACACATTTTCAGTACTGCCTCTTAGAACAAAGATTCAGATTCTTTCTTTTTCTTTTTTATTTATTTATATTAGTTGGAGGCTAATTACTTTAAAATATTGTAGTGGTTTTGCATACATTGATATGAAGCAGACACAGATTTTCATGTGTTCCCCACCCTGAACCCCTCTCCCACCTCCCTCCCCATCCCACCCCTCTGGGTCATCCTAGTGCACCAAAATGAGGCCTCCCAAGGTATTTATCATTATCCTCCTGAAGAACACATCTGAGTATCAAGTTACACAGGCTATCTGAACTACATAGAAGAGAAGCTACACAGCACATTTCTGCAGATCTCAACCTGGACTTTCATAAATGAGGTCATTTTAACCACCATCCAAATGATTATGGCTGAGGACAGATAGACAAAGAGATATGCAGGCGTATTGGCCATGGCAATCTGTCATTGTTGCCACTTTTCTAAGTATAGAAAATCACATCTCCTTTACCTTACAGCCTAGGCTGAGGTGACCATGCCTATGTTTTAACACTTGCTTTCTGTAACACAGTCATATGACTCACAGCACATATGTCCCATAATTCATCATGTTGTACCATATGATTATCTCACAAAAGGATCACCATGGTGACATTTCTAATTCCTCATAGCAACAAAGCAGCACAGCAACCTCTCTACTGTTGAGACATGCCCAGTTAGATGTAAACAAAATGAAAAAGTACTATTAAGACTACCCAATAATTTAAAATCCCAACAGTGCAGGTAATTTTAGAAACCCCAACAAAACCTAACTTTGTTAAAAATTTATATCCTTTACAAAAGTGGTACAGGGAATCTCTGCTCAAAACTCAAAGTAATTTACGAAACATACACATGTTCTTGTGGAAGAGAGGTTTCCTGACCTAAAAGTTTCATGAAGCTCTCTGACTTAGCCTTTTCCCAATTCCTGCCCAGGCATTTCTATTGAGCAGGTCCTAGGTTCGCCCAAGCAAAAGAGTTGGCAAAGGAGACCGTAACTGCATTTTTCAGAAAGAAAATATCACTCTCTTTTGGCATTTCAGCTAATGGTTCCTATTCGTGTATTTACTAGTTTAATTAACATAATTCATTTGCTGACTTCTAAAGTGAAAATTTTATTCTACTGCCAGTTTACAGGAAGCTCAAGCTCAGGTGGCTTGGATGCTGAAGAATTCAGCTGCAATGCAGCTGAATGCAATGCAGGAGACCTGGGTTTGATCCCTGAGTTGGAAAAATACCCTGTAGAATGGTATGGCAACCCACTCCAGTATTCTTGTCTGAAGAATCCCCATGGACAGAGAAGCCTGGCAGGCTACTGTCCAATGGATCACAAAGAGTCAAACACAATTGAGTGACTAAGCACACCTATACACTCACTCAAAGAGTAAATGAAAATTTTCAGCATTAATTTTCAAGTCAACATATTTTTTTTTCCTTAGGCCTCTGCCACTGAGATATACCTGGAGATGTACTAGACAGATATTTTTTTTTTTAACTTCAGAGTCAGTGCTTCTCTGAAAAAGTATGTGTCTCAAGAATCTCTTTTTGGAGCACAATAAAGAGCAGGTTATTTTCCCCTGCAGGCACTAAACTGAAAACTGAACTTATTTCTCTCACTTCTTTCAACTCTGAGGTAGAGTCAACCCTGTTCTCATAGATGTGGTATCACAACATACTTATATCTCTCTGGGTCATTCTGGTCAGCGATGACCTCCAGGGCTACCATCTTCAGCTTTTTATCCTGACTTTCTTTCACCCTTTCACAGTCAACAGGGCTGAACTTACACATCTCAGAATCTTTGGCTTCAGGCTGGCGACACTTTCTCTCTATCATCTCCAACTGTGGAAACTGCACCATTGCATGCTAAAAAAAAAAAAAAAAAAAAAAATACAGAATCCGCCCCCCCACCCACCAAACAACAACAACAACAACACATAAGCATCAAAGATATTTTAGGTGCCTTATCTTAAGGGTAGTATCTTCCAAAAAATATTTGTGTGAAACCAACCATGATTTATGAAATAAACCTGTTCTACCATACAGTCCTCATAAATGTTAGTATGAAGATATATATTCTACGTGAATGCACATTCAATGAATACACTTGCAAAAATGATATTCTTTTTTTTCAGATAAATATTCACACAATCAAATGTAAAAGAAAGTGGTAAGAAGAGATGCACAATGAACAAAGATGAGCACAGGGTATAAAATTCCGTTCAACTATTTGGTAGTAAAATTTAGCTCTAAAGGCTTATATAATATTGTAGCAAAAATAATTTGTAAGAATAAATTTGCAAAACTAACTGTGATTAGCAGCAGGTAGACATAAAATACTGTCCTTCTATAATCCTTATGTAATTAAGGGTCATGTATATAATCCTCAAATTTCATAAACATGAGCTAATATTTTTTCATGACATTACAAAAAAAATCTGGCTTTATTCATTTTTCAGATAATGATAAAAGTCTTGGTATATTCCTGCATGAATCATAATTCACTACTATGCAAGAGGTGTGTTCTTATGTGGATGTGTGAATTCTGCATGACTATCAGACATGTGGCTGCTACACATTTTCACCAATTATCACATAACACATTCTGAACATCAATGTCAACATACACTAACAGCATAAAAATTAAAATAACTGGCAAACATCATGCAACCTTTAAAATCCTCTGCAATTATTAAAACTTCTGGTATCAGCATTTGAGTGAAGCTTTTTTTTCTTTTTTTTAACCTGAGAGAACTATGAATGCTACTATTTAATTTCCCTTATTGGACATACTTAATAATAATTTCAAACATTTAAATTATTATAAGCTTCATTAACCAAATCTCCCTGGTGTCCTACCATAAAATAAGCCCCCAGTCCTCTTCATGCATTTAAAAAACTAAAAACTGGTCAATTTGCTCCAATCCAGGTGGAGGGCTCAGCTGCAATGCCTGCTGCTCCTGGCTGAGTGGACTGAAATAAGCATACAGCTCTGTAGTGACACACTTGAACCAGTCACCCACGTAACCAGCAGAGTTAGCAATTCTCTTTGCCAGCTTAGACAGCTTTGGTTTCAGAACTTTGCTAGTGGTTGATTCTGCCTTATCAGCTAAATTTTTGGTATTGGTGGAGGTGATATCCACACCTGGTGGGGCACCAGCCATGCAAAATGGTTTGGGTACCTTTATTACCAGAAGTTAGAGCAAGGCAATCATTTCCCAGAATTGGCTGCAGGAACAGAGTTAAGACTGGCATTTCTCAGTTATCCCTGTTGGGTCCCACTGGGACACTCTCTTTGCTAACCTAAAGACTGAGGGGGCTGGAGTGTGTTTGAAAGTGTAGGTTTAATCACTGATGCACCCCAACTCCTCTCTCAGGGTAATTAAATCCTGGTAGGGTGGCAGCACCAGATCAGTCAGGGGTTTGGTGCCCTCAGCACTCTGTCTGAGCATAGACTCTCAGTTGAAAAGCTGGCTATATGTCTCCATTATATTTTGCATCTGGTTCTTCCTACAGAAGAGCTGCATATAGAAGGTGGTTATTTCTGATGACAGTTTTCTCTTGATTCTAGACATTTAGGTTCTTGTTGCTGGAGTTCTCTGAATGTAAAATCATTCTGTTAGCCTCAAACATCTCAGAAAATTTATTTTGAAGGCCTGGGTCCTCATATGAGGATCTGTCATCAGAGCAGGATAACTTCTTGGATTTTTGTTCTTTAGTGATCTCTACAGGGAGTCCAAGCAATGTGCCTTTATTTGTCACAAACTCTGGCCGGTCCATGGGTACCTTTGAGGGTAAGATGCCTGGGAAAGAGAGTACTGTTTAGCAACAAAACTGTGTGAGGGTGCACAGGTTTCTTGATATGATATGAGAGAGGATTTAGAGGCATGGCTTCATGTGCTGAGTAAGGAAGGTAACTCCAATGGTAGGAAATTGGTGTAGACTTGAACACCTCATCTGGAGACAGAAATGCCAAATTTGGTGGAAGATCATCCTCATTTGCTTTGAAATTGCGTTCTGGGTTATTGGCTTTGATGCCCTTGCTGCCAGTGTCATTGCTTTGTTTGACAGGTGTGATCAACACCTGACCAATATGTTGATTAATAGAGGCCACTGAATCCATGGAGCTCCTACTAGTTCTGGTGACATCTACATTGCCATTTGGGACCGAAAACACAAAGGCTGGGTGGCCCATACTCAATCTTGACCCCAACACATCAGTGACCATGGCAACTGTGTTTCTCACTTATGAACTGCACTACTGTGGGATGGCCAAGTCCAAGCTCTTGTTCTTCAAAAGCAAGCCTCTTCCACTGTCTCTTCATTAGAATTTGGCCCATGCACCAATGACAATAAGGGGCTCTGCTAATGATGTCAGATTTATAGACAACACAATCTTTCCTGGAGGAAATAGTTTCTTTTGGAATCTCACTTCTGGAGAACCAGAAGTGGTTCTGCTCTGCTGCGAACCAAGACTTCAGGAGACATTTTCTTCATGTGGTCAGCTTTGGAATCATCAACATCCACCATTTCAGAAGACCAGTCTAGTGGCTTACTGCTGACACCTTTGGTAACCATCTGCTTCTCCAACAAAGGAGGTGACCTGCCATCCTTTCTGCCCTGATGCAATTTTTTCCAATTGTGCCCAGGAACTGGCTGTGTCCTTTCAGGTCCCTGTGGATACTTGCTGCTGCAGAATCTGGCCAAGAGGCACTCGCTGCTGAGCTTCATGCATGGCTTCAACATGGTGATGGAGGGTGAGGTGGAAATCCTGCCATAAGGCTTATTGATTTCAGAGCAGATGCTTGCAGTGGGCTGGGAAGAAAAGTTGAGTCTTGGTAAAGGCCAGGGTGACAGTGGTAGAAGACCTGTGTCCCCCAGTAGGCCAGTGGTGACAGCCTTGGCAGAAGATGCTAGGCTGCTCATTATTCTCAAAGTGGGAATAAATCATGACTGACACCAATCTTCCAGTATAGGCTTTTCTCTGCACAAGGCACACATGGGCTGCCTGGGGATGATGAAGCTATTGAGAGCCTCACAGATAAGCAAGAGATGATACCATGTGGGGATTCACAGACTCAGGTGGTGGCAGGCAGAGAAAGCACTCCTCATTTGTACAGACCGGGGACTACATCAGCTGAGCTAACCTTTAGAACTGAGGCGGCAATGTCTTGTATATGTTCACTGATACTTATTTGGAAAGTTGAAGGAAGGGGAGATGTCTGGCATGGCTCCCTCAATGTAAAGATTGACCCAGGGCAGCTGCAAGTAATGAGCACCTCTATGTTGAGATGGCTGTATTTGTCACTGACAGACCTATCTGAGCCCAATGTTGCTGCTGTAGGGACTGCAATTTTTTGTGTTCTAAGTGGTGTCTTGTACACAGCACTGAAGTTATCTGGCCATTTTCCAGACAGTGGAAGCCTCCAAGGTTTCAGGTGTCTTCAGTTTGACCTCCATCTCTGGACTTTTTTCTGAAGAAGACTCAGCTCCGCCTAAAGAGCTCATGCCAGTCTCCTGACCTTTTTCTGAAGCCAATACACACCAGCCAGAAGAGACAATACCTTCAAGGATACATATGTCCTTCTGGATCAGGCCAGTGCAGTTCATGCTCAGCTCTGTAATGCCATCAATCCAGTAGACAGCAGCCATATCTACCTTTACAGAAAAAGAACATTACTTGTATGTTATTTATTATTCTTTCAAAGCAGAAGTATCTATCCCAAAGAAAGTCCATAGATTAATTTTTCATGACAGCAGCCTAACATTAGAGAAAACATGGTTAAAGATGAAATAAAAATAAAATATCTATGGGTCTTCATTATTCCATTTCGCTTCAATCTTATATATTTTCACTTCTATCTCACAGTACATAAATGTACTTCCTGCATTTCTTCAGCACTCAATCAATTAGCATTCTAAAAGCACATAAAATTTTGTATCATTTTAGAGTTCATATATACTAATTAAATTATTAAATGAGTGAGAAGAGACAATATACAACACTAAACAATTTACAATAACCCTCCCCAGACCTGCCAGGGCTGTATGTGGATTCTTTCCTGGACACATAAAGGGAAGACTTAATATAACCATCTTGAATATAACAATCTGTGGAAGATATAACAATCTTCCACAAACAATTGGAAATAGAACTTCATTTCTAAATCAACAGAGCAAGGGTCAAACTGCTGTTGCATCTTTCTCCTCCTCTACCTGGTATCTGGTTACAGAACTGAGTTTCATATCCAATGGTAAAAGATATACCAAGAGTGTCGACTAAAGGCTAAAAATCTATTCAGGTGCCACCACCGGCCAAAAACAAAGCTGTAAACAGGAAAGCAGTGAGAGAAAACTGACTCACATACACATACAGACTTATTTAAAATTGCTAAGATTTCTTAGCAGAAATATTCCAGGAAAGAAAGTAGTAGACGATAAATTAAAAGTGTGAGAAAAAAACAACTGTTAACCAAGATTACAACATCTTCAAAACTGTACTTCAAAACTGGAAGAGCAATTAAGAGTTACCCCCAAATTAAGAAACACTAAATAAATTCATTATCACAAGAAATTCATTTCTTCCTTAGAAGAAATCCTAGCTGGAGTCATTCAAATTAAAACAAAAAAATATTCCATAGAAACACAGAATCGTATGGATTTCAATACTTTCCCATAAAGCTAAATACAAAGATAAATAAAACAGTGTACTACTGTAATGTAGGTCCATGAACTCATTTTTAACTGCTGAACCGAACTTCTAATTCACATGACCATTACATCTATTACTGTCAGAAAGATCTCCTTTAGAAAAAATGGAGTAGCCTGCACAATAACAAAAGAGTCTGAAATGTAGTACTCGGGGGCAGTCTTAAAAAAGGACAGAATGATCTCAGTTCATTTCCATGGCAAACCGTTCAATACCTTAGTAATCCAAACCTATACCCCAAACTCTAAAGTTGAGGAAGCTGAAGTTGAACAGTTCTATGAAGAATTACATGACCTTCTAGAACTAACATCTAAAAAGATGTCCTTTGCATCACAGGACACTTGAATGCAAAGGCAGGAAATCAAGAGCCAACTGGAGTAATAGGGAAGCTTGGCCTTGGAGTACAAAATGAAGCAGCATAAAGGCTAGCAGGATTTGGCCAAGAAAACGCATTGGTCATAGAAACACCCTCTTCCAACAACACAAGAGACAGTTCTACACATGGATATCACCAGATCATGATACTGAAATCAGACTGATTTATATTCTTTGAAGCCGAAGACAGAGAAAACTCTATACAGTGAGCAAAACTGTGCTCAGATCATGAGCTCCTGATTGCAAACTTCAGACATGAACTGAAGAAAGCAGGAAAAACCACAAGACCATCCAGGTATCAGTTCAGTTCAGTCTCCAGTTGTGTCCGACTCTTTGTGACCCTATGGACTGCAGCACACCAGACTTCCCTGTCCATCACCAACTCCCGCAGTCCTCCCAAACCCATGTCCACTGAGTCAGTGATGCCATCAAACCATCTCATTCTCTGTCACCCCCTTCCTCTCCACCTTCAATCTTTCCAGCATCAGGGTTTTTTCTAAGGAGTCAGTTCTTTGCATCAGGTGGCCAAAGTACTGAGTCTCAGCATCAGTCTTCCCAATAAATACTCAGGACTGATCTTCTTTAGGTCTGACTGATTTGATCTTGCAGTCCAAGGGACTCTCAAGAGTCTTCTCCAACAGCACAGTTCAAAAGCATCAGTTTGTCAGCACTCAGCTTTCTCGGTGGTCAAACATTTTCATCCATACATGACTACTGGAAAAACCATATCTTTGACTAGATGGATCTTTGTCAGCAAAGCAATGTCTCTAGGTTGGTCTCTATGCTGTCTAGGTTGGTCATAGCAAGCGAATTGCAATACTGGCTGCCCAAGAAATTTAAGTCTGTCACAGTTTCCATTGTTTCCCCATTTATTTGCCCTGAAGTGATGGGACCAGATGCCATGAACTTAGGCTTTTTTTTTTTTTTTTTTTTATGTTTACTTTTAAGCCACCTTTTTCACTCTCCTCTTTCACTTTCATTAAGAGGATCTTTAGTTCCCCTTCACATTCTGCCAAAAGGGTGGTGTCATCTGAGATGATAACAACTTTAATCAATATCTGAAATTATTGATATATCTCCCAGCAATCTTCATTCCAGTTAGTGCTTCATCCAGCATGGCGTTTCACATGTATGTACTCTGCATGTAAGTTAAATAAACACGGTGACAATATACAGGCTTGATGAACTCCTTTCCCAATTTGGCACCAGTCTATTGCTCTAACCATTCTGGTTCTAACCATTGCTTCTTGACCTGCATATAGATTTCCCAGGAGGCAGATAAGGAGATCTGGTATTCTCTCCTCTTGAAGGATTTTCCAGGTTGTTGCAATCCACACAATCAAAGGCTATGGCATAGTCAGTAAAGCAGAAGTATATGCTTTTCTGGAAATCTCTTGCATCTTCTATGATCCAAAGAATTGGCAATTTGATCTCTGGTTCCTCTGCTTTTCTAAATCCAACTTGAACACATGGAAGTTCCTGTTGAAACCTCACTTCCAGGTAAAACCTAAATCAAATTCCTTATGATTATACAGTGGAGATAACAAACAGATTCAAGGCATTAGATCAGGTACAGTGTCTGAATAACTTTGGATGGACATTCATAATATTGTACAGGGTTGGTGATCAAAACTGTCCTAAAGAACAAGAAATGCAAGAAAGCAAAATAGTTGTCTAAGCAGGGCTTACAAATAGATGAGAAAATAAGAGAAGCAAAAGACAAAGAAGAAAAGGAAAGACACACCCATCTGAACGCAGAGTTCCAGAATAGCAAGGGGAGATAAGAAAGCATATTAGGTGAATAATGCAGAGAAACAGAGGAAAACAATAAGAGTGGGAAAGACTAGAGATCTCTTCAAGAAAATTGGAGACACCAGGGTAACATTTCATGCAAATATGGGCACAATAAAGGACAAAAATGGCAAAACTAAGAGATGCAGGAGAGATTAAGAAAAGATAGCAAAAACACACAGAAGAATTTACAAAAATGGTACTAATGATCCAGATAATCACAATGGTGCCTAGAGCCAGATATCCTCGAGTGTGAAGGCAAGTGGGCCTTAGGAAGCATCACTACACACAAAGCTAGTGGAGGTGATGAAATTCCCGCTCAGGTATTTCAACCCCTAAAACATGATGCTATGAAAATGCTGCACTCAATATGCCAGCAAGTTTGAAAAACTCAGCAGTGGTCACAGGACAAGAAAATGTCAGTGTTCATTCCAATCCCAAAGATGGGGAATGCCAAAAAATGTTCAAACTACCACACAATTGCACTCATTTCACACACTACCAAAGTAATGCCCCAAATACTTCAAGGTAGGTTTAACAGTACGTGAACTGAGAACTTCAAGATGTACAGGTGGATTTAGAAAAGAAGAGGAACCAGAGATCAAATTGCAAACATCCACTGGATCACAGAAAAGGCACAGAAATTCCAGAAAACTTATCTACTTATGCTTCACTTACTATGCTAAAGCCCTTGTGTGAAGCACAATAAACTACAGAAAATTCTTAGAGATATAAATACCAGACAACTTTATCTGTTTTCTGAGAAGGTTGTATACACGACTAGAGGCAACAGTTAGTACCTGACATGGACTGTTCAAAACTGGGAAAAGAATATCTCAAGGCTGTATATTGTACTCTGT